GAAAAAAGAATCCAAAAATTCATTTGGAACCACAAGAGACCTAGAATAGCAAAAGCCATTATAGGCAACAGTCACATGGCACCAGGTGTAACAATTCCCAATTTGAAACTATACTACAAAGCCACTGTGATAAAATCAGCATGGTACTGGCAAAGAAATAGGCCTGAAGATCAATTGTTTTCAGTTTTTAAAGAGGAAAGTTAAATCCCTCATGGACAAGAATGGGATTGCTACTGTTAGCCAAAATTATGAACGAGTATGGGGTTTTGCTTTTCTTCATATTTTTTTTGGTGTGGCTATAAACTAACACTCTATACCCACAGGTTCTGCATCCATAGAATCAACCAATTGTACCCCCCACCCCCCAGCAATTACATCTATACTGAATGTGTACAGGCATTTTCTGTTCCTTAAACAATACAGTATAGCAAAGACTTACATAACATTTACATTTTACTAGTTATTTTAAATAACCTAGACATGGTTCTAAGTATACAGGAGGATGTGAGCAGGCATATGTAGATACTATACTGTTTTAATATAAGGGCCTTGAGCATCCAAGGATGTTGATGTACAAGTAGGGGCCTGGAACCAATCTCCCATAGATATTGAGCACTGACTATATGCAGGTTATAGGAGAGTATTTTATAAAGTAAGATGCTGCTTTTTTACTATTTCTAATATACTTTGTATATTTTAGAAAAGACAGTTTCTTTTTCCTGAAAAGTGGTAATGATAATTCAGCAAATATTTCTTAAGAACTTGAGCACTAGAGGTAAGTAAGTACTGAGAAGAATAGATAACAAAATTCAGGCCTTATTTTTCAAAGCTAAGAGGATATTAAGATATTGATATGGAGCAGCAAAGAAAAAAGAATATTTTATTGTTGAATTTTATAGAATAGATTGGTAGTTCATTCAAGGCATTACAATAGGGATTGGAACTTAACTTGAGGCTTTCAGACTGTGCAGGATTTAAACTAGAGAGAGGAGACAAATGAACCACATGAGCAAAGACAAGAGCCAAAGTGGCATTGGGCAATGGAAAAGAGAATCATTATGAGAATGATTTTAGAGGAATAAGTGACGGGACTGACTTGTCTTTTTTTTTTTCCTGATTTGCCCAGACAATGCTTTATTTTGAATCATTACTCAGTATGACCATCGGTCTTTGGAATCCCAAGCGTGTTCCATCCCATTGATTTTACATAGTACAATATCTGCGGAAAAGCCAAATGTCACTTTGGATGGTACCTTTGGGAAGCCCAGGCCAGGTAGGACTTAAGGTTGCTTAGCGTGCACCTGAGCGCTGTGGTTTACTGCTCCTCTGTGTTGAGGTACATGCACACCAAGCAGGGCCCCCAGGGGGCCGCACCTTACCCCAGCATCCCTCCTGCACTGGAACTGTGTAGGGCACAAGCAACTCGGCCTCCTGCTGGAACTGTTGCAGGCAATCCAGGAAGGCTAGCATGCGTGGTTGAATATGGACCACCTGCTTTTAATCAAGATACAAAAAACAGGAGAGAGAAGGTGCAAAAATAATTCTAAGATCTAGGTTAAAGGAAGAGTAATGTGCCATTGATAGAGATAAAGAATTTGAAGCTGGTTTCCAAGAAAGGGTAGCATTTGACTTTAGATGTTTCAGTTGAAATTGTAGTATTTTGTAGCAAGATATCCAAATGAAAGTTTTCATTATACATTTAGACATGAGGGACTAGAGCATGTTTGAAAATATGTATCACTAGAGATAATAGATCTGATGGTCATCAGTGTAGGAGGAATTGTCAAAGATACTACATTTAGATAAATTGTCAGAGTTCCATTAGAAAAAGAGGCACATGAATTAAAGTTAAGTTTTGGGAAAAGGTGAGTGTTGGGGCAGAATGAAAAGAGTGAGTGTTAGGAAGGGTACGATCAACTGTCATGGCTGCAAAGTTAAGAGAAGAATTTTGTTCTTAGAAGAAACGTTGAATTTGGCAATAAATAAGAAAAGATGAACTTGCCTTTCTGAATGAATTTACTGAATGAAAGATTATTTTCTGTAAAATGACCACATCAGAAATCAAATTTCAAAAGGTTTAAGAAAGGAGGGGGTAATCCGGAACTGGATAGCAGGAAAGTTCATTTGATAGGTGATAAAAGTGCAATGAGAGTAAAGCTAAGAGTTTTTACAAAGACAAAAATATACTCTTGAGGGCCATGGTGGCACATGCCTTATAATCCCAGCACTTGGGATGTGGAGGCAGGAGGATTTCTGTGAGTTTGAGGCCAGCCTGATCTACATAGTAAGTTCAAGGTCAGACTGAGCTACATAGTGAGGCCCTGTCTAAAAAAAAACCCCAATATTCTAAGCATTTTGATGGTTATATCTGTATCTACGATATATTTGATATCTAATAAGGAATGGTAGTTAGCAAAAGTTAAAATGGTAGCAATCTCTAATATAGGTAGGAACATGTTATTGACATTGCGTTTCAAATACAATGTGGATAAGATGTGGAAATAGAGCTCTGCTTTAAAATATATGTGTATACACTTTAAAAATGAATACATCTATTTCTCTGTTGCATAATGAGTATAATCTGTGGAATAATGAATGACATCTTTTTGAGTAATGATAAAGTCACTAATGACTTAAGTGAAATATGTTTCTTGCTCTATTAAATATTTGCTATTGATGGTTGAGTTAGCACACAATTATAAATATGTTTATTATACTAGAGTGTCATGGGCTGGGGATTTAGTTCAGTGGTGCCACCGCCTGCCTCACAAGCATAAGGTTCAGAGTTTTATCCCTGGTACCAAAAGGTAAATAAACAAACATATACATACATACATACGTACTAGAATGTCAGTTTCTCAAGCAGCAGATGAATTGTCATAAAAAGTGATGCATAGGGATGACCCAACTGAAGTTTAGCTGTACTACTATCTCTGTGTGCAGATTTAAAGAGAACGTGTGTTTATATACTATATTTTCTTTGCATGTTGTAGTGACACCTAAACAGAAGCAATGAGTGACTTTTTAAATGCAGCTAAGTTCTGTTTGCAATTGCCAATTGTTTTCTCTACTGTTTTAAGTTAATAGAATTTGGTTTAAAATACATTTTCTACATATCAGGTGTAATATATTTATGAGCAGATATAGATCTTTCTTCTAGTTGCTAAATATAGTCTTTGTGCTTAGGATGGGGTTGTGTCCTCAAAAATGTGCTATGAGCATAAACAATGCAAAGAGAATATGAACTTCCTGCATAGAGTTTTAATCAGACATTGAACTCCTGATATTTTGTTAAAGAGACCCTATGACTAAAGTGCCAAAAATCATCTGTTATTGTGTTTCAATTTTTTTATTAAACATGTACTAGATAGAGTCTAGTATATTACTGGGCATAATGGAAAATAGCAAAGTAAATAACACACAGTTTCTCTTCTCAAGGAGCTTAATATAGGACAGAGAAGATGTAATGGTTGTTATAGCTAAATAGATGCATATTGAGGCCATACTTGCAAGTGAAATAAATAGAACATACATGTGTAAATACTGGATAGTTTCTCTGGTGTGAAAAACTTAAAGTGTAAATAAGATTCAAATTGTATAATTGATAATGTGAAATAGGAAGAAAAGGGGTAAAGGTGTAGGGGAAGTGGGAAGGGTAGGGGAAAGGAAGAAGGGAAAAGAAAAAAATGAGAAAAGGATAAAATGGAAACAAAGTCTTTGTAAATAGGGAAGCGTGGAGGAGATGAAAGGAGGACCGGGGAATGGGGAAAGATTAAGAACCAAGATACATCCTGTAAAGGAGCAACATCCCAATAATGAATGTAACTGTACTGTATCCCTAAAAATTACCAATAAAGTTAATGAAAAAAAAGATGTAATGGTTGGGTCCTCATTTGAATTTGGGTTTTCCCTACTTACTAGATAAATACATGACTTGGGGCAATTCATTTAATTAATTAAAAATTGTTTTCTGAATGTCAGCTTCCTTGTTCAAAAAATGGGTGTGACAGTACTTTTCTTGAAGGCTTTTAAAATTTTGAAGTCATGTAATTTCTTAGCACAGTATGTAGCCCATTAAGTACATAGCTATTGGTAAGTGTTATTGTCATCATCACATGGACTTCCTTAATGAATATCAGTGTCTTGCCCTTTTTGCTTACAACGTATTATCCACTAACACAGAATTATATTCACTGTAATATAGTATCATTTAACATTCAGGATGTGACCTGTGGTAACCCTATTGAAATCAACAAGTAGGTAAGCAAAGGCTTATAAAGTTTTTTTCCATTTCTTATTACAGGTTTTAATGTGCATCCTGGAAGAGAAAGCCTTAGAAGCTAGGGTCTGTTTTCTCAGAATTTTTTGAGCACATGAAAGCCATTTATAAAGATCAACCCTGGAGTTTCCAAAGAATAACTGGTCACAGATTATCAAACGCTATAGTTCCAAAGGCTACATTAATGGGGGAAGAAGATACTTTCTATTGGGTACATTTTCATGCATACAAAAAGTAGAAAGAACAGTATAATGCTTTCCCACACACTGCCTACCCATCATTGAGCTCCAGTAGTTAACAGATTTTAACAAAGAGACATTTTGGTAAAAAAATTATGACATTTCCAGCTCTATTATTAAAGTCTTCCAACAATTTATTAATTTTGAATCTCATATCATAGGTGTAGTTGAAATCCTACTTGAACATTTGCTCTTGTTAGGCAACAGTTGCTATTAATTTGAATTAATAGTTAAAGATTTATTTTCTATAAATGGTGAAGATATTTTTGTGACTTTTTTTTCAATTTAATGTATTTAGGACTTCTGTATCTATTTTAATTAAGTGTATTTTTAACTGGTATATAAAATTTAAACATTGTTCATGTTTAGGACCCATTTTAAATCAGAAGACCAAAAGAAAAATGCATGGGTTTGTAACTTTGTTAGGAAAGTGAAAGGGTTAAATATGCTGGATAGAATATATTTTGTTCTTTGTTTTTAAGGTTTGGCTTGAGCAACAAGTTTGATACTGAATTTCCCTCAGTTCTAACAGGGAAGGTAAGTAGTAGTTTGCTTTGACCTTTCCAATTCTGATGCATTGTCTTATGCCTCATTTAAGTGTTATGATAAATGCTTTGACTCTTTAGTAATGAAGTCAGATAGCAGCAGGCCTCTGTTCTTGAAAGCTGTGTTGAGAGTGATTGAAAGCTGTCTCTATAACTACCAGCTTCTGACCAGTTATTTTATCCACTGTTCATTGATGCTAACCAATACTTCTTTAGATATTTAGCTTTTCCAGTTTTTCCTCTTTTCCCAGAAAAGTAGCTATGATTGTTTCCATTTCCAATAATTTCCAATGTTTGTTAACACAGTTATATTCTTTAACTATAACACTCTATTATTTTCAATGTACTCTATGGTGTGATTTATTATACGTGAAAAGAGTGGAATTTTTGATTAGACATTTTTCTCCCTTTTGACTTTGAGTTTCTAAAATCAGACTCATGATAAATTATTACCTTTTTGTTTTCTCGTTCTTCAGGCTCAAAATTCAGAGACTTACTAAGATTCAAACTTATAAGTGGGGAGAATATACTGCATGGTGATTATGAATAATAATGTATTATAAGCTACAGTGTTGCTAGGCATAGATTTCAGGTTCTCTAAGCACAAAAGGGAAATAAATATGTTGATTTTCATTTTTTTCTTTTTTTTTTTTTGGTTTTTTGAGACAGGATCTCACTGTGTAGTTGAGACTGACCTGGAATTTACTATTAGCCCAGGCTGGTCTTGAACTCACAGCGATCCTCCTTGCTTCAGCCTCCTGAGTGCTGGAATTACAGGCATGCGCCACCATGCCTGGCTTGTTGATTTTCTTGACGGTTATCATTTCATCATGTAGGTCTATATCAAAATTCTTGTTGTACACATAAATATATGCAGTTTTAAAAAGAAACTATATTTACCAATAAACTCAATAAAATTAAAAAAAAATAAACTATATTTGAAAAATCCTGTTACAATCATAATGCTAACTTTATGCCCAAAGGAACATTTTTCTGCCTCAAGTAAGACGTTATTTACATCCATTTGTTACTTGAAGAAATATAAAAGAAAGAAGCCTTTAGATTGCACAATATGCAGTAATTTCCAAATGGTGTATAACTGAAGTTTTGGGTAACTGAAATGATGATTTGAGGTTAAAAGCTGGTTAATTTTGTTTGTTTGTTTTTGTTTTTTTGGTACTGGGATCGAACTTGAGACCTTGCACTTGCAAGGCAGGCAGCAGAACCAGAGCTAAATCCCTGGCCCCAAAAGCTGTTAATTTTTCCATTTGGAAACTGTGATGTCTCTGTTTAATAATTTTAGTACTATCATAAATTTTGTCAGTATAGATTTTAGTTTTATTTCAAAATTATTGATTCTCTAAAGTGCTATTTTTAGTGTTAAAAATTTTCTCAGATCATTAGTAAGAAAAGCAAGGTACACAGTGTGACAAGTATCTATATGAAATGGAGAAATCAGCACATTAATAATTATACTTTGCATAAAGAAATTCTAGAAAGAAACATTTTACAAAAAAATTCTAGAAGCATTTTATAAAAAGAAATTCTAGAAAGATACATATGGAATGGAATAAATAAGCACATCATTGTATTTTGCGTAAAGAGATTCTATAGAGATATACATGAAACTAATAAAAGTCTTTGCCTTTGACAGAAAAAGGGGACTTTTATGGATGGGGGGAAGGGTGGGGATGAGGAGGCTATTTTCTGATACTTTTGAACATAAATTTACTTCTAATTTGTTCTCTCGCCTAAACTGTTTGAGAATGGGATATGTTGCTTCTACTAATATTAGCTCCTTTTGTAATGATGCATTTTCCAGCTGTTTGCTCTCCTCATTTTTAACGTAACTTTAATCCCCCTCCCCAGCCACTTTGGGGACTGAAGGAAGAGAAAAAGATAGCAGACTTACTTCTTTTTTTCAAAAGATATCTATAAGATCATGAGAAAATGAATTTAAACCTGAAAAGTAATCTGTACTTTATTTGCCTCATTTTCCCCTGAAAAACAGGAGCTAGCTTGACACAAAGTACAGTAAACAAGTGCTGTAGTCAGATCTGGGTTGCAATCCATATTCTTTTGTGACTACTGGCTATTGGTCTTGGGCTCAGTTCTTATGTGCAAAGTGGTGATGATATTGATAGTTACTTTACTTCTTAAAGATTAAATGTGAGTGCATAAATGAAGTTTCTAGTGTATTCTCAGATACTTACTGATTTCCTAATGTCAATTTGTTAACTAATTCTCATTGCATCCTTTCACCCTGCTTAATTCTTTCAATTTACTCACTGGCTTTCAATTTTTAATTGCTGTTGCCCTTTTTCTTCATCTGAGTTATAATTTATTCTCTAGTTGTACTACTAATTTATCCTACTGACTGTTGACCCTTTCTATCTCTTCTAGTGATAACATCAAATCCTTCCGTACAATAATAAGCATAGTTCCTGTGTCAGTTAACATTTGAAAATATGTGGCCACTTCACTTTTTAGGACCCCAAACCTTTGTGGTATGGGACTTTGGCTTCAGTCTAATACATTCTATTTTCCTTCCCTGGTCATTTAGGATAATTCATCAGTTGAAGCAACAGCTTAGACTTAGATTTGTTGTTATATAAATTAATCAAAAATGTGTTCCACAAAATGAATCAAACGGCTATGAAAATATCTCTTGAATAATAACATTGGTAAGATGATGGTAAATTCAGTACTAAAATTAAGAGTGTGAAGTAAAACATCTCTGATAAAAAGCATATTCTTTTTGTTTCCCTTGCTATTGCATATTTTGTCTGGACAGTTACATCTAGCATTAGTATTGGCTTATTTTTTATAAGTTTGAATTACAGGTTTAAGAAATTCTAGAAAATGAATAACCTAAAAAGCGTCAGTGAATGCAATTGCCTGGTATAAGAATTCCCTGATTTTGGAATTGGCCAGTTTCTTTTGCTCAAGGAATCTTTGATATATCTTTTCACACCTCCTCATTTCTTCCCAGGCTTCCCGAAACTAAAAGTTTCACTTACCCTAAAGATAGTATAATTGCTTAAATTAGAGGAGTAAGAACGATAAGCTGCTTTTGGTGTGCCTTTACGTAACTTAAATGATAAGGATAGGAGCTGTTCTTACAGACATCCATTCCTTTCAGGTAACCATTTTTTTTGCATCACATATCATAATGTGTGGGTATTTATTTAAATGTGTATCATCTATAGTGTACCAAGTTTCTCTTGTATTGGATAAAGTACACATGATACTGTAATAGTTTCTTATTGTGAAAAACATTAGACAGAATGCTGAAGGTCAGTTGTTTGGTTGATTGATAGATGGATTGATTTGGTGCTGGGGGTGAAATGCAGGGCATGTTGAATGTTACCAATGAGCTACACCCCCAAATCCCTGAAGGTCTGATTTTTAAAAATCAAATGGTTGTAACATTAATGTTACTTCTTTTTCTTCTAATGAGAAGTTTTTTTTCCTCATTGAGTTTATTGGTACATTTTAGGTATACAGTACAACCACACCCATTATTGGGATCTTGTACTTTTACATGACAGGTCTTGGTTCTCATTTTTTTCCCTGTCCCTGCCCTCCCTTCACCCCATTAATGAGAAGTTTTTACCAGTAGGCGCCTTCATTTGTATAGGTTACTTTGGATTCTCAAAATGCTTCTCCAGTAACTGGGAAAAGAGACCTTATGTGAATGTGAGAACAAAAAAGAAAAGAAAGATGTGAATTCCAGATTTAATAACCCTTGGGTTAAAATATTTAAAATAAATAAATGCAACAGCTGAAATAGAAAAAAAAAACTGTTCTTTGTAAAATCAGTTTTCTTAGCATGAGTGAATTTATACATTGCTTTTATGCCTGCCTGAGGTAAGCAAAATTGTGCAGTGAATTCTGAAAAACTTAAAAGCCTTTTGCCCAGCTTTGTGGTTCAGCATTATTTTTCTGCTTCTTTTTTGTTAATGTTCATAATCTTATTAAGTCCAGAAAAGATTTTTTTCAGTATTTCACTAAAGATAACTCCTCCTATCATGGTGGAACATGTCAAGGAGGTATATGCACATGGGTTCTGGTAATCAGAAAATGAAAGAACCACAGAACTTTGGAAAAGAAATTAAAGCACCCAGCCCTTAGTTTGAAACAACCAAATACTGTAGTACTATGGGGAGATTAGTGTGCAGTGTTGGGACTGAAGCCATAAAATTTGACCTTTACTATTTATGACAAATGATTGATAGGGTTGTGTTCCCCACAACTGAAGGAGAAAATCAGTCCTGCTGCGGGTTGCTTAGATTTTTCTTCTGTTTGCAGAGTCTCCTGCTTCCTGTTATAAAATATTATAACACTTTCCCTCACCTTCATGATGTGGTTTTCTTTTTTATTTCTAAGAGACTTTAAAGAATGAAATGCTTTTTTACAACCTACTGTTGAGCTAAGAAGTAAGTGGTTTCCAGCTAACCTACATTACTAGAGATACTCAATTATATGGAAGTAGATGAGTAAAATGTTATTTAATTCTGATTCTACACGGTTAATTAAACATTTCTTTCACATCATTTAAAATTGAGAGTTAACTAATTCTCATTTCCTATACCTTTATCTCTATTGTGTGACTTTTATTGTAATTCGAATATAGGCTTGGGGCGGGGGATTTAGCTCAGTGTTCTGCCACCTGCCTTGCAAATGCAAGGTCCCAAGTTAGATCCCCGATACCAAAAAACAAAACAAAACAAAACAAAACAGGTTCTGTTCAAAGACAATTCTGGTCTCCTCTTAAAATCAAAATGCACTTGTTTGTTTGACATTCTGTTAAAAGTTTTTCACTACATTTGTCTTATGACTTCAGAAATTTGAATTCTCATTTTTAATAACTAGAAATATTTGAGTTTTTTATTTGTCTATGGTAAGAGTATAGACTGATTCTATTTGTTGTAAGTGGAAAAATTTTGGTGATAAAGAAGAAAAATTGCCACAATTTAGGAATGTTTTTCTTTGCACTTCTAGAAGCATTTAGTGTGACACATAACAAATTTTATATGCTTTGGCATTTAATGTATTTCATTCACAAAGTTTTAAATAAAAAGCCAGTTTTCCTTTCTTTCTTTCTCCTAACTTTAGTCGCCCTCACATTTCTAACACTATTCTTCCCTAGTGCGAATAGTTTGCCTGTTTTTTGTTTGTTTGTTTTTGAGACAGTCTCTCTGTGTAGTTCAGGCTAGCCTTGAACTCATGGAAATCCTCCTGCCTCAGCCTTCTGAGTGCCAGGACTGCAGGCCTGTGCCAACATGCCCGGCATAGAGTTTGATTTTCTAAGGGTCCTTGTAATTTTTTTTTTCTTTCAGACTGACTCATTTCTGCATTTATTCTCACCCTTTACTTTTAATTTCTTTATCTGTACTTGTGCTCACTTTTAAATAAAAATTTAGATTCTAATTACAAGTACTTTAATTTCTTAATGGACAGAGTTAATAATTTTATAATGTACATGAGTTTATGTCATACTTTACCATATTTTAAAAAGTGTGGTGTTGATTCCGGATATACAGTTTAAAGAGGTTTGATAGTAATGTTAGGTTACAAATTATTTGAGCTAAATCTATAAACATATTATAAACATTTTTTAAATTTAAACTTCTACTTGGTTACTAGTGATTCCCGAGGAAGAAAGAAGTTTAATACTGCATTAAAAAAATTTTTTTTTTTTGGTACGGGGGATTAAACTCAGGTCCTTGTGCTTGCGAGGCAGGTGGCGGAACCACTCAGCTAAATCCCCAGCCCAATACTGCATCTTAGAGAGGCGAGTCTTAACATATTAACTTGGTACATTGTTTTTGTAATGAATGTGAAAAGACTGGCAGTATAAATTAGCACTAACAATAGAATATGTGCTTACCATACACAAGGCCATGAGTTCAATTCTCAGCGCCCCCCCCCAAAAAAAAGAAAAAGAAAAGGAGAAAGGAAAAGAAAAAGAACGTCTTTTCTGAAGAACTGAGGAGCAATGACTCTACATTCAAATGTGGCACATTAACCTTTGGTTTATAGTAAAATTTTAGAGTAGTAATTAAACAGTCAAACTCCTTGCCTCAGGTCCAAGTCAATACAAAAGTGAGCTTTTCTTTTCTCCAAATCTGTTCAGAGACATGATGTATAAACTCCCTTTTTCAAAGTATTCTAGTCACGAAGTTCTTTGAAAGGTCTAATTTCCATTCTCAGTATAGAAAACAAAAGCTTTTTTTCTGTTTTATAGATGCAAAATTGAAACTAAGAAAAATTAAATGATTTTGTCTGGGATTTTTCTTAACCAATAAGAACTTGAATCCAGATCTCTTCATTTACTATCTAGTGTACTTGTTAATATTTTCTACTTTCAATTATAAGGCATGGTTCTCTGAAGTTATTTTTATATTTCCCCTAGAGGTTTTGTCATTTAATTGAAATTACTTGTACATAGTGATTGTCATTGCATCATGTTGCTGATAATCTAGATGGAGTATGAAACTAATTTACTTTTCCTGTCCAAACTACATTTAAATCTTTACAATTCCACAACTGTTGATTATTAGGAAGAAGATCAGATTTATTGGGCTAAGCAATTAACCTTATCAGGTAACATGAACAGTTTGAATAAAGCTTATAAACTTAACATTTTAATCATAATAATGCTGAAGTCTGTGATCATATATCCTTACAACATCAGCTAATATGTATATATTTTATAGTGTTGATTCTAAGGCATCTAATAAAAAATCAATATGTAAATAAATAAATAAATATAATTCTTCTACTATAATTTTTTATTTGAGAGAGTGAAGCCCTGTATTTATTGATACCCAACATACCGACTGGGTTTTTATTTTACAGTACCTTACTTTTCTTAACAATTTCATCATTTTTCCTTTCACAGCCAGACACTAAAAATTTTTCCCATAAATGTGAAAATCTGACCACTTTCTAAGTAAAAGAGAATCAGATTTCTGATCCAGAAATATGATTCCACTGAAAGCAAAGTATTTTTAGTATGTCTTCGAATTGTAAAGTCTTCAAGCAGAATTTTGGGCGTAAATCTAGTTATAATGTCTTTGATTTTATTATTGTTCACAGTGAATTACAAGTAGACACTTCCAGAAATGGACGAGTAACTAGAAATATTAAATTTGTATATTTTAACTGAAATTTATAAATTTTAAATTAGTATGTCAACTTTCAAAAACTTATTTTATACTGAATATTAATGGACTGCTTTAAATGTAATCGTTATGCATTGTCTTTTGTTAGTATAACATTTCCCTGCAAACAATGGCAAGTGTTAAAATTGTTACGTAGCCAATTTGCCTTGGAGAAAAAGTTTAAGAGTTGCCTTTTAAAAAGTAGTTCAGGAATATTGCTAAGGACTAATTTTAATTCCATTTCTTCTGGTAGTATTTGAGTTTTTATTGCTTTATGCTTCTACTCTTACTTAAATTTAAATCAGAATACCTGAAGACTATAAACAGTATTGCCTTAATAATGAGAATATTTGATAACAAGACTGTTTAATGGGTATCCTTAACCATTAATTTTATTGCTGTCGTTTTATTGTTGGTCATTTAAGAAGATTGTTTTTGAACATCACGCCAAGATCTGTGAATATGAAATTGTTTTATTTATCAGTGTTTTTCAAGAGTGTGATAATGTATTTATGGGTGCAGAGGGGGAGAAAATAGACATTTGAAATTCCGTAAAGTATTTCTGACAAGACATTTTCCTTAGGTTTAGAGATAAATAGTGGGGAGCTGCCCACAAACTGTTAAAGATAGTGCCCTTGTTGTAGGTAGCTCCAGAAGAATTTAAGACCAGCATTGGCCGTGTGAATGCATGTTTGAAAAAGGCTCTCCCAGTCAATGTGAAATGGCTGCTGTGTGGATGTCTCTGCTGCTGTTGCACACTGGGTTGCAGCCTGTGGCCTGTTATTTGTCTCAACAAAAGAGTGAGTATAGCCATTTTATTGCATAACAATAATAAGAGCTAATGTTTATCTAACACTATGTGCCCAGAACTGTTTCAATATAGTTTACATGATTTTTTTATTTCTGTAGTAGTTCCATAGTAGTCCCTATTAGTAGTTTATTTTAGAGTAAAACTCAAGGCGAGAGAGATTGTCGTTTGTATAATATTTAGCAATACTTTATTATTTAATATGTGTTCCCATTATTCTAAATAAATGCAGTGTAGTTAGAATACTTAAGTAAATACAAATACAAGCAAACTGCTTACTCTTGTCAAAACCTAAAACTATGACTTAAAACATTTTTAAGCTATAGATATGTGGGAGAGCTTCTCTGATCTGAAAAAATGCTCAAGGTGGAGAACCTTACAAAGTTGGGAAAATTCTTAGTCTTGAACATGTTACAACATTCTAACATAATATTACTAATTCTGTCAAGAATTTAAGACTACTGTCTTAATTTTAGGTTGTTGAAAATTTCATTTTTGTCTTGGGAATGTTTTCCCCAGTGGGAAGATACCTTTAAAATGTGTGATTGAGGCCAGCATGAATAGTGAATTAAATTTTTTCAGCTTTAATTGAGTTTATTGGTACATTTTAGGGATACAGTACAGTTACATTCATTGTTGGGATCTTGTACCTCTACATGACAAGTCTTGGTTCTCATTTTTTCCCCTTGTCCCTGCCCTCCCTTCACCCCCTCCTCACCTCCCCATCTATAAACATTTTATTTCCATCTTTTCATTATCTCACATTTTTTTCTTTTCCCTTATTACCCTTCCCCTACCCATCCCGCCTTCCCTACACCTTTAGCTCCTTTCTTCCCATTTCTCAATGTCAGTAATCTTATTAGGATCTTCTGTATTATTGCAGATTATTCACACCAGAGAAACTATTCAGTATTTACACATGTGTGCCTTATAATAGTGAATTAATTTTATCTGAAGTTCTTTTTCCAGAACTGTATTATTGTTTTCATTTAAACTTTTATTTATTTATTTGCTACCAGGGATTGAACTTGGGAGCTTGCACTTGTGAGACAGGTGTGGTGCCACTGAGCTAAATCCCCAGCCCTTCATTTAAACTTTTAAATAATTAGCCCACTAAATCAGATTAAAAATTGTAGTATCACACGGAGGTATAATTGTTTTTGCAATTACTTCACTAAGGTGAAAAATATTCCCAAGAAATACTCATTATTTTATCCTCTCCACTTTTCTCCTACCTTCTTCATGATAAAATATTGCCAGCATTCTGACTTTTTTTAATGGAAAAGTGCTAAATATCCATAGGTCAATACTTTAAGTACAGCTTAATTTGTTAAAGAATATACAGTCTTCTCAACCACCTTTCTGTAGTTTGTTTTAAATTTCTTCATCATATCTGACTTTTAAAAGCTATGACCAATAACTCTCACCCACCATCATCATTTTAAAAGCTTCAATGTGAATTAATTGTGGTTGGAATTTCTCATCATGTAAATATAGCCAATTTCAGTTACTTAAGAACAGATTTTCTTTTGGTTTCAGTATTATCCAAGATTGTCTTATTTCTTTGACCTATGTGTGCTTTGTCCATTTGTCAGTACTTCCACTAGAGGGCTTGAAATAGGGAGAACAATGTTTTGTTTGTTTGTTTGTTTGTTTGTTTTTTTACTATGAGCACTTCTAATAGAATAATAGATGGAACATGAGAAAATACTGCTGTGATCTCTCCTTATTGTCCATTACTTTAGTTAAGAATTCAGATGTGTTGTGTTCATGTACTACTTCCCCACAAGTATTATAATCATTTATGTACCTCAAACATGTACTAATAAAAAATTAAAATTGAATAAGAAGAGTTCATACTGAACTTGAAGTATCCATCTATGCTAATTCACTAATATTCCAATTAAAAATAATTCAATACAGATTTGTAAACTGTTATTCTATGATAGTGCACTGTCCTCTCTGGGTCGTGTTTCCTCACCTATAAAATCAAAATAATATTTCTTATAAGGTAGTTGTAATGATAATGAGATAATGATAATGAGATTTAAGGTACCTTACTGCTTTTTTATCTACAAGGAAAAATAAAAGCAAAATCCAATTTATGAATTTTTATACCCTTGCTGCTGCTTCCTCTAATCTGTAAATAAGTAGTATGAACTATAATAACTTAATTAGAAAAATAATTAGTATCTATGTAGCATAAATCCCTTACTTTGTAGGTGGGGAAACTAAGGTCCAGAGCAGTGAAGTTACTTTCCTAGGGCTACATAACAAATGACACAACCCTCCTCCAAAAAAAATGTTGCTTTGGTTTGGTTTGGTCTTTGTTTCTAACATTGTGTTCTCTTGACATCGTGATTCGTATGTCAAATATTCTATTCTGGGGACAGGAAATATTTGGATATGTGGTGTGATAAATGGCACTGGGTTTTAATTCTCTAGCAGTGATTGGAAATTTTTTTTTCACAAAGAACCCTATAGTAAATATGTTAAACTTTATGGCCCAAAGGTCTCTGTTTCATCTATTTAACTATGCCATTATAGCATGTAAACAGTCATAAATGTACATAAATGAGTGAACATTGCTGTGTTCTCATAAAATGTTAGTTATTTGAAGAATTAGGTTATGTTTTGCCATCCTGCTCTAGTCATCTCTGATTGGGTATCTAGCTCTATGGAAATCATGTCTGTTTATCCATAAAATAATGCAGAAATAATATGATTACTTTGTCTTATGTTACAAATTTGTTTTATGAACCAGGCATTATAAAATATTTCCAAAAAATAACTTTCATGTAAACAAGTCTGCCTTATGTACTGTTTTTATTTTTTATTTATTTACTTTTTTGGTACCGAGGATCAAACTCAGGACCTTGAGCTTTCAAGTCAGGCACAGCACCACTGAGCTAAATCCTGACCTTTATGTACTGTTTTTTTACCAGTTATAATTCGTGGACACTTTTGATAGCAATTATGGTGATAGAGAAAATAATTAAGATCAGGTTATCTTCAGCTCCCTCTAATAAGTTTTGCCTCTGATGGGTATTCCATGGTAGCATGATATATGAAGTGAAGGTTTTCATTTACCTGTTTTTACATATATCACTGAAATAACTGTGATATCATAACAAATTTAAAAACTGGGCTAAAGACCTAATCATGCCACCAACCTTAAAACTGAAATTAAGGTACTTTTAACCTTTCCCTCTTTTTCTTTAATACTTGATAAATTGGGAGGTATGTTCAGATGGAAGGCACTATTCTCCATCTCAGAACATGAGCGTGATGTTTTGGAGATGGAACTTATAATTCACTGTCTTATTTGATTCCAGGTTTTTGTATCTAATCATAAAAAGAAAGAAAAGCAAATGATAGAAAAGCCCCATCCATACAGTATGCTATGTGGAAGAGAAAATCAGTCTCTGCAGTAAGAGACAAATACTTCTGCTAAGAGTTAAGCAAATTATCTGTAATCTCTATGTAGACCTTTTATTTGTCTTTCACAGAATACATTTTGTGTTCTTAGGCAAAGATAGCATGCATAAAAGTGGTGCATAGAGTACTAATAACTTGGTTATAGCGTATCTTTTCCTTACTGTCTTTGAACTTCTTAATTTTTATATTGAAATTCAGTAATTTGACTATAAAAATGAAAATGATGTTTCTGACATAAATACTATTAGCTCATGAGTTCACTTTGTCTTTTTGTCAGCTTTGCTAGCTAATAGTTTTACTGCATGTAGTATTTTATCTGCTCTAATGTGCAATGCTTGGTATTTAGCTAACGATACTTTTCCTCATCTGTTGTGTCATTCATCTAGTTTTTTAAAAGCATTTTGAGAAATATTTGCTTACCATGAAATTTACATAAATTAAGAGGACAAATTAAATTTTAGTGTACTTATAGTGATTGTGTAACTATCAGTACAACCTCATTTTAGAACATTTCCATCATCCTAAAAAGGAAACCTTGTGATCACTTCTAGTCACTCCCCACTTTCAAGCCCAGTCCTCCTAATTCTAAGCAACATTTTGTACTTTCCCTTTTGGACATTTTATATGTTACATTCATACAATGTATATTTTCATGGCTAGCTTTTGAAACTGAGAAACATAATTTTTATTGTGAAAAATATACAACATAGAATTTGACATTTTACTGCTTTAAAGTGTATAGTACAGTGCCATTAAGACAGTTTTATGCAACTATCAGCACAGTAGTTCCAGAATTTGTTCATCACCCCCGAGGAAAACCTCATGCCTGCTAAGCAGTAACTCGTCATTTCCCTTACCCTCAGGAAGTGAAAAAATATTCCTTCCTCTTTTATATTGCAGAATAATTTAAGAAGGATTAGTATTATTTCTTAAATATTTGGGAGAATTTATTAGTGAAACCATTTGGTCCTGAAATTTTTTTCTTGTGGGCTTTTGATTACTTATTCCACCTCTTTACTTGTTAAATGATTATTCAGATTTTCTGTTTCTACTGAGAATTTGTCCATTTCATCTAGGTTGTATACCTTAATGGCCTGCCATTTGTTTATTTTCTTGAAATAATTTTTATTTCTGTAAGATTGAGAGTAATGTTCCCACTTTCATTTCTGAGTTTAGTAATTTGAGTCTTTTTTTCCTTTTCTTTTTTTTTCAGCTTTAATTGAGTTTATTGATACATTTTAGGGATACAGTACAGTTACATTCATGTCTTTTTTTTCTTAATCCATGTAGCTGAAGGTTTTTCAAATTTGTCTTTTGAAAGAACTAACATTTGGTGTTGTTTAGTTGTTTTATTTTTCTCTTCTTACTTTGCTCTTTTATTTTGTTCTTCTGTTATTTTTGAGTTTGATTTACTTTTTAAATTCCTTAAGGTATAAAATTTGGTTATTGATTTGACACCTTATTTATTTCTGCTTTAATTAAATCCCATAAGTCTTGATATGTTGTGCTTTGATTTTCATTCATTATTTTCTGCTTTCCCTTGTGGGTTCTACA